CATGCGCATGTACATATGTATCTATATGTCATTACGTTTGAAGAAGTAAGTAGTTTCTTCTTAGAATTAATGGATGTATTACAATTATCTTTGTTGGAATTTATAAGATCGCTAGTGCTGAAGAAAAAGGAGATACTAACAAAGAAATGAACTTTCTGCAGGATATCGTTTTCAAGAACGGTGAAAAGAGCGAACACGTGTCGTTAGTGTTGTCATTGAAAAAGAAGGATGAGATATTGAATAAAATGTTGAATAATGTTAATACCGAAAGAGCATAGAGTGAAAATATTGTGTACAAGTGTAATAATAGTTAACGGAGGTTGAAAAAAATTGTGAAAGCATTGAGATAAAAAGCCGGAAAAATTTGCGTAAAGCAGATATATAGATGTATGATACATAGGTATAAGCAGAAAGGTTTGGGTACAGGTTCGTCCGGGGAGTTTAACGTTCGTAAGAGTTTTCAGGAAAGACAAGAGGTGCGCTAGTGTTCCACTAAGCTACCCCCAGCCTTACTACCCCCACCCTTTCGTTCGAGCTCCCCTAGCTAGTGCAAATCTCGGCGGATGAATGTTTTCTTAAGGGATTCTTCCCGAAAGTGACGCGAAAATCTGAGAGGAGTCAACCGAGCTGAAAATTCGTAAGTGAAATCATTTATTATAAAATTCGTACTACTTTTCTTTGTTCGAAATCTTAAAGCTCATAGGATTTAATTTCGTAAACTAAAAAGAAAGACGAAACTTGTGTTCAAGGCGTTCCTGGGGGGTGATGGCACTCACGCCGATAGCGTCTCCCACAAAGATTTCACCATTTTTCTATTGACAAAAAAATTTTACACTTCACGTACGTTGGATATTTTTTGGTTAACCTGTCGGCTAGTACGCTTTGAGCACGTGATTACGATAAACGCCGCGTAACTAGAGTTTGTATTTGAACTTGTTTTTCCAAAGAATTCGTTTATATGTACCGACGACAGATTTGTTTTGTTGCACATTCGTTCTCGGCCAGTATCATGGATTTTCCTTAAAGGCTTTTCGATGTTAATCTCCTCGTTTGTTATTGCAGCGAGCTACAATAGAATTGCCAATTTGAATATTCGATCCAAGATGTACCTTTTAAATTTTTTAGTCGTGTTACGTATATATGCGTAATTAAAACTGTACAGTTGACATAAAATTTTTGTCTGTAATATAGCCATATTGTATGCTGTTTTATGAGGAAATAACTACTGTTTTATAAGCAAATTAATCAAATGTAATTTTTGCACCTGGTTTAGTTATTTTTTTTCCACATTCTACATTTAGAGAAGATACTTGCATTAGTTAAATTTATCGTTATCCTATCCTTTAGTTATTCTGAAATCATACTTTGCTAGAGTAATAAAAATCCATAGTATTACGATTCATCTATCGAGTTTCTATCTTTCAGTTTAGTCGATTTTGAATCAGTTTAAAGTTACAGAAGTAAATGATAAATTTGAACAAGTGATTGTTTTGGAATTGTATTAAACATTCCTGATTGGATGCCGATTGAGATTTATCAAGGAATAACGTGCAAAAGATAGAAGTAAGATTATATTTTGGTTGG